AGCCACGTCTTACTCCCACTGAGTGGCTTGGAGGTTCTAACCACTGACTTTATAGTTATCAGTGGAGCACTTTAACCACGCTCCTGATCCACAAATGCTTAGAAGATCAAGTAGAAGTTAAGTGTTAAAAGCCACTTTCTGGTAAACGGCTATGGAAACTAGAGGGGGCAGGCTGGTGGCACAGCAGTTAAGTGCTTGGTTGCTAACTGAAAGATTGGTAGTTTGAGCCCACAGGAGAAACTCCCAACAATCTGCTCCATTATGGGACAAGTCTATTCTATTATACAGGATCGCCCAGGACTCACTGGTTCGAGGATGCAGGCCTTCACAGGAGACTTGACGTTTCATCTGGATTGTGAGATCCAGATCTAGGTCTGAGAGCTTGTCTGTGACTGTGACGGGGTAGAGCAAGAGAGATAGTGGGACATGCAGATTGGATCCCAGTTGTTGATGGCCTTGAATGCCAGGTTGTGGGAATTTAACTTTATTCAATGCCTGCAGTTTTCCAGGAAGGGAGTAAAATGGTCACACTTCTACTTAGGATGGGTATCAGGCAGCTCCCTCGGGGTGAATTTGCAGGAAAGGCTTGAAACAGGAAGAGCACTTATTTTACGCTAACACAACAAATTCTGGGTCTTTACTGATCACCAGGTACTCCTCGGAAAACCTATACAGGGTTGCTATGAGTCAGAATTGATTCGATGACACTTAACAACAACAGCTGATCACAATGTCCCAAACCAACACATTGCCTTGTAGATGGATTGAAAACTTTGATCAGAATGATTTTCAGAACTCAGAACCTAAGTGACTCATCAGTAAGCCAAAAACATCTAAGGAGTCACCACCGATGGCTTGGAAATGCAGTGTGAACAGGGAGTCTGCTAAGAGCTCTCAGACCAGACAGCTCGGGTACAGGGGAGCCATGTGGGGAGCTGAGACCAAACAGGGCCCACCCCTGAAAGCCACACGGTCTCGCTGTTGAGAGTGGGCCATGTGCCAGCAGGGTGGGCCGGCCGCAGAATGGTAAGAGCCTGCACAGCCAGATAGGAAAACCCCAGGGAGGGGAGACGGGCGATTAAAATGCTAGTCTGGGAAATCAAAACAACTTTTGAGGTGCAAAAGGCAGATTTCTAAGTAGCAAATTGAATTTGCCAAATCCAGTTTAAATTAGCAGAAGCAAAATAGAGGACTGTGATTTTGGAAGGGGAAAGCAGTTGCTAAATGAACCGCTAACTCTCTGTCTTAAATGTCACCCGCGAGCCAGAGCTGTCCTCCTGGCCAGCACAACTGGACCACTCTGTTTATGGTGTGAGAACCCTTTAGGGATGCTGTCAAGAGCAGCTTCAAACAGTGGGCTGAGGTGTGAATCTGCAGCAGCAGGCACGCCAGCTTGGGCTTTGGTACTGAAGTAAAAGGCTGGTGTCAGAAGCAGTGCCAGAAACAGCCTCTGCAAAACAGCCGCTGCAGCTGTGAATTTTATGTGTTCTCCGTATGCAAACGACCATTAGTCATGCATTGATTGATCCCTTCCTCCCCAGAAGCCTCATTTCCAAATGCAAAGGCAGCCCATGCAGCACAACCTCACTACTCCACTGCCTTTCTCATCCCCTCCTTATATTTAAGACTACTTCATAAGGAGGCCTCTTGTAGATTTAAATGCTTAACTGCGGTGTCCTGGATTTGTATGTGCACATATGAGTACACACGATTTCTCCATCTTTCTCAAAGGCATTTCCATAATGTGGTGAATTTACAAGTACCAAGAATGACAAACACTGCTATGCTCTTCACATTAGCCATGCCCGGTGATTAAAGCAGAAACAGAAATTCAAAAATTCACTGAAATTCAACATTGTTACGGAATATTTAAGAGGCAGAAATTATTTGGGATTTTAGTCTTTCTTCTCTTTTCTTTAAAATGTGGAATTCCTGTCTTAACTAACCTCTTCCTCTGGGAATTGCATGCAATATCTGTAGTTAGGAGATTCCATAGTCAATTGAGAAGGCAGTTGTTCACAGTTTTCTAAGGACATATTCAGAGCTAGGAGATACAAAATGAAAAAGTAAGAAAATGGGTTCTATGTACATCTGACCACGATTGTATTTTATCTTTTTTAAAGGGGAACAGGCAAGTGTAGTATAAATACCTAGAAAGCAAGTCTCTGTACAATCAGTGGATTATAGTCTGTTTTGCTGTAACATAATAAAGCATACATTATGCTTGCAGGGGAGAGACTGGAAGTAGGGAGAGCTGTTGTTTTATGTTTATTTGCTAATTCTGGGTCTTTACTAGTCACATAGCTGTGTAGGTGGATTGGAAAGTTTGGTCTAATGTAATTATAATGTAGTTAATGTAATTAATAGCTAAGCATTGTATTGTTTAGAAGGGCATGCCTGATGTGGTAATAATTATGATAATGGTTACAAAGCTTATATAATACAAACCAAACTGTAGTGTCTTGAAATGCTAAAATTTTATTTAAAAGAGCACTCACTATATGGAGTCCTGGTGTGGCGCTGTGGGTTAATGCGCCAGACTGCAAAGCGGTTTGAACTGCAAGGTCGGCAATTCAAGCTCACCAGCCTCGGAAACCCTGTACAGGGTCGCTATGGGTTGGAACCGACTCCATAGCACTTAACAACAACAACAACATATTAGAATCTGGGTGCTGGGGATGAAGCACTCCCAGGTGCTGCGTGCTGGGGTAAATCCCTGCTGGGTGCTGGGATGAGGCTGGGTGCTCAGGAAAAGGGCATGGTCGCTGGTACCATCTCTGAGACAGCCTTCTAAGGTATCAACATAAGATTGTCCATTCTCTACTTGTATGAATTTGAAGATCTGTCCTGTGTTTCTAGATCTCTGGCTCCTTAAATATTTGAAATGTTTATCCCTTTTTTATTTTCATAATCAATCTTCATAACAATCTTCCTAACATTTCCCCTAATAGCATTTATTTTTTTAGAACCACCTGTTAGGTTGGGTTTTTTTAAAATCATCTACATATGTCTTCCTTATCCATAATATTACATGTTTTTATATATACTTGATCTGTTGTTTAAACTAGCACTGAATAAATAGTTGAAGATCATAAAGAGAAAACCTCAGAAAGAACTTAGCTTTGATAAAATTCTTTTTTTTTTTTTTTGAACTTGGAGATTGAAAAACTAATCCAAATCATACAAATGTGAGGCTAGGAAGAAAAAAACAACAACAAAGGAATCTTAAGACACATGTATACAAAGACATAAATATTATAAAGCCCAAGTATTCAGCTTGTCTTTCTAATCTAAAATGTCAACAATCACATCTGCATGGCCATATATACCCACAGCTTGGACTTTTTTCTAATATTGTGCTTTGAAGTGCCGTGGAGTCAGTTCCCATTCATAACGACCCTGTATAGGGTTTCCAAGGCTGTAAATCTTCGCAAGAGTAGAAAGCCTCATCTTTCTCCCCTGGAGTAGCTGGTGAACTTGAACTGCCAACTTTGTGGTTAGCAGTCCAATGCTTATTCTACAGAGTCACCCCGTTTCCTTTTTCTGATATAAATACTTATAAAAACATATCTTTATGGGGTAGACTGTCTACTTTCTAAAATAATCGTGATGTAAGGTATACGGCTTCATTACATGTTTCTGTCAACAGAGCCACATTATAGATGTCCAATCCATATAGCTCATATGCCACACATCCGATTACAATAAACTTCATTTAACTCTTAAATTCTGCTGGTCGTACAATTTGATGGTTGATGACTTAGGAAAGATGTAAAGACTGTGCAGAACTTTAGGGATCATCATTATGCACACCACTGCCTTTAGCACCATGCTACACTCTAGTAATTTATCAGGAGCATCTCTCTCATTCCCTTGATAGAAGGCAAGGTGTGCCCAGTTTTGCTAAAGCAGATACAGCATCCTGTGGTAATGGCAAGTTCTGTGAGATAAAGGTCAATTAATTCTATGAGGGGAGAAGAACAAGTACATGCTAAATTTAAAGGACTATATATATATAGGTCATTAAACATTAAATAGTAAGCCTCAACCTATTGAAATCCTTAGTTCACATATGTATTTACTTTTATTATATTCTAGATGTTTGACTTTCAGAAATGTGTTTGGGAACATTTCCTGTGTTATGGCTGAGATTAACATTTCATACATACAGTGACCCACCTTTTTTTTTTTTTTGTAAACATTGATGGAGTCTATGGGTTATGCGAATTGTTAACTTCCTCGGCTGCTAACCAGAAGGTTGGCGGTTCAAGTCCACCCAGATTTGCTTTAGAAAAAAAGTCCTGGTGATCTGCTTCTGAAAAATCAACTCTTGAAAACCCTGTGAAGTACAGTTCTACTCTGAAAGGCATGAGTCAGCATCAACTCGACACACAACTCGACAGCAACTGGTGACAAAGTTTCACAACGTTCTTTTGTGACCCTTGCAATGAATTTTTTTTTTCTGCCCTGTTCCCACTGTGCAAATGGAAAGGCCGAGGCACATGGCTATTGCTTTGAGTTTTTCAAAGATCCCCACTGAGCCAGCAGAGCCTGAGACAGATGTGATTCTGTGTCCTCACTGAGACACATCTTGCATGCATCTGTAGTTACATGAGAAGGTTCCAGGGCTTTTTCCATTGCAGTCCTAATAAGGAGATCTTTGTACAAATGTGTGCACAAGTAAATAGGGTATCAAGGCGATTACCAGAATGAATTTTCCTTCGTCTAATATGCAATGGGGGAGTTCCCATGTGGCACTGTAGGATAAACACTGAACTTCTAACTAAAAATTTGACAGTCCAAACCCACAAATCACTTCTCAGAAACCCTGTACAGGGCTGCTATGAGTCGGAACCAATTTGACGCCACTTAACAACAACAGCAAGAAGATAGATGCATTGGTTTTTCAAAGCCTTTCTAACAGTCGATGCTTTATCCAGGGATGGGTTCATGAATGAAAAATATTTCATTATCACTTTTTGTCTTCTTTTCATTTACAGATTTATGCAGTTCGATCAGTTGTTCCTAACAAAAGCAATAATGAAATAGTCCTGGTGCTACAACAATTTGACTTCAATGTGGATAAAGCAGTACAAGCCTTTGTGGATGGTAAGTGTCTCAGTTCCCACGAACCTGACGATGTCAGGACTAAAGATTCCATACAGTCAGCATTTCCCCATCAATGCCTTGAGTGACCAGTTGGTTTCTAATTTTTAATTCATATTAGTTTTCATTAAAATATGCTAGGCTTAAAAAAAACATATATATTAATGATGAATCTGTGAAACACCTCATAACCTAGATAAACCTGGAGGGCATTATGTTCAGTGAAATTAGTCAGTCACAAAAGGACACATATTGTATGAGACCACTGTTGTAAAAATTTAAGAAAAGAAACATTCTATGATGGTTACCAAAGGTGGGAGGGGAAAGAAGGTTATTCATTGGCTAGAGAGTAGACATGTGTTAACTTGGATGATGGAGAAGGGAGGTTGGCACAAGAAAGGTGAAGGTCATGGAAGATGCAGGAAGGAATGCAAGATAAAAGTGAATAGAGGTAAATACTGTTAACTGATGGTACTTGGAGGAGAGTTCAATCACTGTGACAACACAAAGTATATGAACTGTTGAATGTGGGACTCATGGTCTATTCTGTAAACCTTTACTCAATTCACAATAAAAAGTTTTTTAAAATACACACACACACACACACACATATATATATTGAATAAGAGCAAAATTTGGAAATTACTTTCCCTCATTAAAAAAACAAAACGATAGACTCGAGATACTTTCCAAAGGATTCTGATCAGATTGCTTCTAGTTCCTTTGTCATCAATCATTTCAATTTGTTATGAAAGCTGTCCTTTATAGGATGGTGTTCATGCAGCTGCAGATTTATGTACGTCTTTCCAGACTGGGAAAGCTATGTACAGATAGCCAACCCGCACCACATAATCCTTCTTAGCTTTATGATGACTGCCTGCCAATTTGATACTATACCGTCTGAGAGATGGGTTCATTCTTTAATACCCTTAGTTTATCATATTGAATTTGCCTAATTAGTGAGAACATCAATTCATCTAACTTACCTCTAGAATTTCTTGCCTTCTCAAAAAGAATTTTGTTTTTAAGATATTCCTTTGCTTGGTAATATTATAGAATCTAAAATTTTCCTCAGGGCTATGTTGATCCTATACATTTATAACTTAGTGTTTTAGACTTCCTGTATATTATAAGAAAATTCTCCTCTCTTAATATATCTACAGGAGTCCTGGATAAGGTCAGCAGTTCAAACCTACCAGCTGCTCCTCAGAAACCCTATACATGGTGGCTGTGAATCAGAACCAACTTAACAACACTTATCAACAATAATAACAATATCAAACAAGTTCCAGTTATGAATAAAAGCCCTCACCTACCCTTAGCTATCATTTGCCTTCTGTCCTGGTACTAGTTGCTGTTTTATAGAGCTGGGCTAGTTAACCTTAAGCTGACAGATCAGGGCAGAGAAGACCTACCAGCACATTTCTTAGTTATATTCAATTTAGAAAAAGAATGAGGCTTTCTACTCCCTCGAAGTTTTACAGCCTTGGAAACCCTATACAGGGTTGCTATGAGTTGGGTCAGAACCGACTTGAAGGCACTTAACAACAACAACAACAACAATTCTATTTATACTTTGTTGTTGTTGTTATGTGCCATGGAGTCGTTCAGACTCATAGCAACCCTGTACAGGGTTTCCGAGGCTGTAAATCTTTACGGGAGCAGAAAGCCTCATCTTTCTCCTGTGGAACAGCTAGTATATCGAACTGCTGACCTTGTGGTACACAGCCCAATTCGTAACCACTATGCTACCAGAACTTTGTTAAGGATAGTTAATTTGCAATTTCCTTAAGAGTTTGATAATCTTCTTGAATATTGTATTGGATTCCTGGTGTGGCATTGTGGATTCACAGTGCATTCACTGGACTGCAAAGTGGGGCTGAACCACAAGGTCAGCAGTTCAAGCTCACCAGCCATTCCTCAGAAACCCTATATAGGGTTGATGTGGGTCAGAACTGACTCAACAGCACTTAACAACAACAAATTGTATTTTAAGACAAAGACTTGGAACCAGGCAACATGCTCATGCAGTCCCATCTGCCATCAAGGTATAAGGTCCTCATTGAACTAACAAACAATTATCATTCAAAACAGACCTGCAAGGGGATTCATACTGTACAGTTTTCTCACTGTTTCCCCCTGCTTCACAGACTAGCAAATATAGAATCTTTCATCATAAGAAACAAATAGCAAAGAATTCTATATTAATCTGACGTTTCAAGGGTAGGTGTGATTTGTCTCAAGAGAATTTGTTGGAAATATGCACATCCTAGCTCTCTACTCAGCTTCTGTCCGCCTACATCACTTGCATGGAGAAAAAGCTTAGGAAAGGAGAAAGGTCTTTATCCCGATTCCTCCCACTCCAACTTGGATTTAAGTCCCCTGTTTCCCAGTCTGAAGGTTTTCATTATAAAATGGCCCTGATGAGATATCTGGATGCACAGTAACTGATCAAATGAGTTAGCATTTAAATTTGCTTCTCATCAAATGTGCACGTATTTTAAATAGAGCACCTTGCTTGTCCTTTGTGGAATTTTCACACTGTCAGTGTTGAGATCTCATTAATAAAGCTCATTGATTGCTGAGAGCCTTGAATCCTTTTGGCTGGGCAACAACAATAGGATAACAAGGAAAGCCTGTTGAAAATCTAACAAGTAACAAAAAGAAATGTTAGGAGTGTTTTACCAAGCAGATTGAAAGTCACTATTTCCAAATGCTTCCAAAACTCCAAGCAGTTTCAGTATAATTAAAATTTCACACTAATGGTTTCAAAATCCTCTGTAAATATGGGTATTTCTTCTACATAATTACTCTCTAAAAGCTCATTGTCCCAAATTACAAATAGAATTTATGTCAAAATCTGAAAATTAGGGGAATGATAGAATATTGCAGTTGAGTATGTAGTAAGTAACTCATCTTCCTCTAATTAAAAAGAACAGTATTTAGCATTGTTTTCATTGTATTGTATTTAAGAAGTTGAAACCTGGCTATCTGTAAGAACTACCTTCAAGGTTGCTAAGCATTGGGTGAACTTGCTAAGAAACATAATGAAAGTGACTTTGAAAGGTCTTCAAAAGGAAAATACGGAGGAACATTGATTCTTTGGGCAAATTAGAGGAAAGACTAGCACAGCTAATAAAAAGTCTAAATTATAGCTTGCTTTCAAGTGCAATCTTATTTCAAGTACATGCAACTCAAACAAGTTTAAGAGAGGCATTGAGTTGGAACCATTGAATAGATTGACGTAATTAGCCTGTCTAAACCTTAGTCAAAGCAATATGGCCTCCTGCTTATCTAACAGAGACATTAGATTCAATCACTGGGAACCTACTAATTTTAAATTTGTGATAAATACAGACCAGCCTGAAGTTTATCTGTGTTTATTCAACACAGATAATAAAAGAGAAGGATCAGTACAACAAAATCAGTAGAAGAAGATTGTATTTGGAATGCTTAAAATTGTTCAAAGAATCCATTTTGAACACTAACTCTCTTTTGTTGTTGTCATTGTTATGTGTCGTCAAATTGTTTCTGACTCATAGCGACCCTGCAGAGGGTTTCTGAGGAGAAACTGGTGGATTTGAACCACTGACCTTTCCGTTAGTAGTCTAGTGCTGATCTTCAGCGTCACACCAGGACTCCAACTCTGTGAGAAGCACCAATTTGTATGGAAACAATCACCGTACCTATTACTGGAACTGTAGTGCTGTGGGACCACAAGGTCAATTTGAACCGCAAGGTCAGCAGTTCAAATTCACTTGACGGCACTTAACAACAACAATCACTGAAAATGCTCCCAGCCCAATTGGAATGGATGAAGGAACTGTTAGACTGCATGGAAACGTTCATTGTTTCTGACCAGTGATTAAACATTTCTCTAAAAAATGCTTTATAGCTTAATTAGGTTAGGTTTTTCCTCTGAATCAGAATGATTCCGCATACATATGTGACAAGGTGGGATTTGATAGAACCTGAACTAAACACATCATTTGATGAATTTCTTTTGTTTGAAAGTAGAAGCTGGTAAAGAACACATCCACCCCTATCCACACTGAGTACAACAGAACCAGCATCATCTAATCTGCCCCCCTTAGCGTGCTATACATTGTAAACACAGTGAGTACAAAGACAGGAATGGTCAATCAGTAAGGGATGATTCATGTGGCTAATAATAATTCCAAATTCATGTTTGACCCAGAAGATTATAGGTATGTTTTTATTCATATATAACACAGTACATTTTTAATTCTACCTGTAGCAATGACGCTATCAAAATATTCTCAATATATATTTCATTTCCTCCAAGACAACATAGTGATACAGAAGCAAGTTTCAGGTAGTGGGACTTAATATATTGATAAAACTAAGATCATGCAGTGAATTAAATGATAATCTGGGAAATAAAAAGTGAAACTGGCATTTTTTTATTAAGGCAGGATGTAACAAAACAAATGAAAAGGCAAAAAAAGAAAAAAAAATTACTACCAGGATGGATAAACAGAGATGAATTTTGTGTGGTGTTTTATTATATGAATGTATGGTGAAGATTCTTTGTCTTTGTCTAGGCAGTGCAATTCAAGTTCTAAAAGAATGGAATATGACAGGCAAAAAGAAGGTAAGATTAATATTGATTGTAAATTAGTAACATCTTCAATCAAAGTCTTCATAGCTATCAGTTTAATAAGGCTGCCAATGTTCTGCTTCCTTCAACTCCATTAGCCTGTGCACCCAGGACACTTCCGCATTCGTGACTCTGTTAAATTACCAGCCACTCTCACTACTAACTCCCTTACTGTTTGTTTCATGTTTTAGTCACCAGATGTACTTAAGAAGCCTCAGAGATACTTGTTTTGTTTTGTTGTAAGTTTTAAGGGGGCCCAGCCAGGAATTCATAGGTTCCAAGATGTCAGCTTGCCTAAACTTATCCTGCTGCCCAAAGGAAAAAATTAAGAAGTGTCTTACAGACACATGAAAAGCTCCCAAAAAATGCCTTAAAACCATATTGAGAGACTTACTTTCCCTTCTAGAGAGCATCAGTAGACTGCTCCTTGAAAGTAGGAAGGAGATTTTGCTCTACACAATTCAAATAATTGTGACTATTTTCTCTTGCTTTGACTTCCAGGCACCTGGGCAATGTGCCTGCTTACTAGTGTATACTGTTCTCTCTTCAGCATAGAGGCGTCCTAATTGTTCACACATGCTCAGTACCTTCCATAGGCAAAGGAGCCGATGCTCTTGGCCTGAAGTCTGTTCCATGGCCATCATAAAAAACCAGCTTCTCTTTCCCCAGAGTCTGTCCCAAACCCCAGTTCACTCTCACTCCGCAAGACCATGTGTTGTGGGTAATCAAGGTTCTCACATCCCAGTCTCTTCTTTACAAGGAGGGAAGATCATAGGCCTGAGAAACAGATTTTGAACCAAAAAGCCACATTGTTTTCATAAAATCCTGAGATCACTGAAATGGCCAGAATCATCCTTTCCCTTTTTTTTCTCCTCCTAGTTTACGTGTAGAATAATAAAGAATTATGAGATTATCTTAACCTTTGAATGCCACTGTCTTTGACATCCCTGCCTGTCTTTAATCATAGCTTCCCAGGCTTCTTTGGGAGATGCAGATGATTTGCAAGTGATTGAAAGGTAGTATTTACACTTACATGGAAACATTTCAGATGTGCAGTTTGTGTATTAAATTTCTCCGATGTGAAAAATGAGCTGAAAGCAACTGTAGGCCCAACTCATTACTTGGTGTCTTTCTCAGAGTTCAGTAGGAAACAAGTCTCCTCAGTCCAGTAGACACGGGCCTTGGAAGCCAGAAGCCAGTGGGAGAGCCTCGGGGAGGAGGTGCACACACATCTCTCACCCACAGCAGCCCTGACTCAAGGCCCGATTATGATTTGAAAGGAAAAGAAAAGGAGTGAGATGAGAATGAAAAGGGAAAACAATTGTTTTTTATGGGGTTTTTTTCAAAATGTTGAAGGGACAAAGGCAGCCAGAGTTGGTGTTACACTGGTGCTCATTGATGCAATAGGAGGAACAGGGTCTGTCCTGATGGGCCAAGCTTCTGTTCTGATGGGTTTGAGCCTGTGCCATACTGATTAATTAAGCATACTAATTAAACATATTGACTATCACCAGGTACATAATCAAAGCATGCATGATTAGGAACCACATCTTCTTAATTTCTATTATATTATCATCTATCCACCGTCGGACCATTTTAGGAGCGATATAATGAAATCCTGCCATATTGTGATAAATGGGGTCTAAAAATGTTTAGTTGTCTAAAAGGCAGTGTTGTGTTATTTTCAGATAAATAAATGAAGCTTAAAGATTTGCAGCTAGCACTGAAAGATCCAGGGGTCAGGCTGCAAATCCAAGTTCACATGGAACCCTGATCAACATTACCTGGTTGTCTGCTCCAGCTTAAATATTGATGGGGGTGATTATAGACGCTGCTTGCTTGGTTATTAATGTCCAGTTCATAGACCTAATGTGGACTCTGGGGACCTACCTTCTAATTCGTTGTTTCGCAAGAAGGAGCTGCCCTGCCTTTCTCTACTGGGCCACTCTTTATCCTCCCCACCCACTACCATCGCCAGTTTAAGAAACTGGAGCCAGTCCCCAGCAGAATTAACACAAGGTTTTACTGTATTACTGTTCACTTATGAAGAGCCTCAGTTTGCTCAAATCATGTCTCAGCTATTTAAGCCACTCCTTGCCAGTTTTTCCTTTTAAGAGAGCCTTTTGGTTTACTATGTTTATGATGTAAAGGTTGATACAATTTATTGTATAACACAGATATTTAGATTAATCCAGATGGTCAATAAAGATCTAGGTGTTTTTGCCCATACAACTAAAACAGCCAGAAAACAAAATGAGCAAAAAAGAAGTTAACAGATCTTCTTTTGACCTCCCAAGTTTCAACTTTCATTTCAAGGTCTGAACTGAATGGCAGTATCCTCTCCTTTGTTTCTCCTTCTAGAACAATAAAAGAAAAAGAAGCAAGTCCAAGCAGCATCAAGGTAACAAAGAGGCTAAAGAGAAAGCAGAGAGACCAGATGTGGTACCCCAGCAACCACAGGCACTGCAGATACAAAACGGCCACGCTCATGCCTATGAGAAGGACAGTTCGTCCACCGACTCCACCCACGAAAAGCCCACCCTTCTCCCACGTGAGAAAAAAATCTCCATACTCGAGGAGCCTTCCAAGGCACTTCGTGGGGTCGCAGGTGAGTAATTCTAAAGCACAGTTGCTTGGGAAGCCAAGGATGTATTGGCAGCCTCTGGTGCACTTGGCAGTATTGGGAGTGAAAGGTTGTTCTCTGACAGTCTCACTGAGTCCAGGCCTCGTCCAGGATAGCGGAAAGGGGCCATGAGGGGCTCTCTACTATCACACTGAGGCTGAAGAATAAATACTCAATCCAACCCTCACTAAGTCAGAGGATTTTAAAAAATAACCTGGCACCAGACTACAAAGCCATTTGACTGCAAGGTCAGTGGTTCAAGCTCACCAGCTGTTCCTCGGAAACTCTGTACAGGGTAGCTGTGGGTCGGAACTGACTCAACAGCACTTAACAACAACAACAACAGTGTGTATTAAGGATCCCTGGTGGTGCAATTGTTGCTAACTGCTAACCCAGCATCCCTAGGTAGTGCTCAACTGCTAATCCAAAAGTTGGTGGTTCAAACCCACCCAGCATCTCCATAGGAAAATGGCCTGGTGAGCTGCATCCGTAAAGATTACAGCCTAGGAAACCCTATAAAGCACTGCTCCTCAGTCACATGAGACTCTCTGTGAGTCAAAAATCAACTCGACGGCACCTAACAACAATCTGTATTAGGATTGCGGGGAAAATAGAAATTACTATTTAAAGAAATCCTCTTTATAGCCACGTTTGCTGAAATCTTCCTGGATAAGGGATGGATAATAACCTTAAGGTCAGCGGTTCGAAACTACCAGCTGCTCCGCGGGAGAAAGATGAGGCTTTCTACTCCCGTAAGGATTTACACCCTCGGAAACCCTGTACAGGGTCGCTATGGGTCGGAACCGACTCGACGGCACTTAACAACAACAACAATAGGTGGCAAAAGGAAATGGTTTCCTTTTCTAAAGAGGAGACAAAATTATTTTGATTCCTGGTATTTTATGTGACCAGACATAATCTTCCAGGATGTTAGAATTGGGAATAATTGTTATTTGTACTGTAGCTATACATGAATTAATCTACAGATGGCTACTTCAGAATCAACTAGGTAGCCAGGTGCAACATTTCATGTCTAGTGTTTCATTTCTCCTTTCTGTAAAATAAAGAAACTACTAGAAGAGTGTTTCTCAACAGTGTATGAACCAGGGCCCTGTTTTTTATAACAAATCATAAAATAAAATCCATAGGTAATATAACCTAGCTGGAAACAGAATTTCAATAAAATAAAACTTAAAATAGAAGACCTAATAAAGTGGCCATATCTTCACATCCACTTACAAGGAATCACTTTGCACTTAGAAGTGGACACTGTGTCAGTATCCCTGACATTTGAAGTAAGGTCCACATAAGTAGATTTCTATGTGTGCACAGCATCGCTGTGACTGGGACCACGGCAAAGGCAGACTGACACAGGGGTGTGGTTGTCAACACAAATACCATTACTGCTGCCATGGTCAGGGGTGTGAATTTCAAAGTGGTGACAACTCTTGGAAGAATTCTATATGCCATAAGTATAAATCAAAAACACAAACCCACTGCCATGAGTTGGTTCTGACCCTCAGGACAGAGTAGACCTGCTCTGTAGACTCGGTGCGATGGTAAATCTTTACAGGAGCAAACAGCCTCCTCTTTCTCCCAGTGAATGGCTGGTAGGTCTGAACTACCAGTCTTGTGGTTAACAGTCAAAGGCTACCTGGACTCCAACCATAGTACAGATACAGTAAGGTATAGTAAAATTGTGCAAAAAATACTTTGTGTTTATATGGAAAGATCTAGGACCACTTAATTATAATTGTTTAAAATAACCCTATGATTGTCCAGGAGGACATAAGAAAGTTCAAGACACAGGACAATTCTTAGTTGTGCAGAGTAGTCCTGAAATTGTAAGTTCTCTGTTCCGCCCCCCCCCACACACACACACACCCGCACCACACACACAGACATACACACATACAATCAGTTTGATAAATCTTTTACATGTGGCTTCAGATTTTCAAACTGCCCCTTAAGAGATGGTATATGTCAGTGAGAACCCCTGCACTAAATGTTTCCCAAAGTCCTTCTTCTAGTTACAGAACTCTGACTTTACTGAATCAGGGTTTGTTTTTTTTTCAAAGTGCCCCTCCATTCAAAGCACTCTACCAGATGCCATAGTAGATTCTTAGAACTTAGTCTAGGTCCTGAGGGAATCACATTCTGATATCCTTTAAGACGTGAGACTGTGGGGACACCAGTGAATTTAGGGTTTGAGGAAGGGAGGTGCCACCTTTGGGTGATCCAAGAAAATGTTATAGAGTAATGGGTACTAGAGGACCAAAAGACTGAGGAAATAGAGAGGAGCTGTAGGTAGAGAGAAGTAGGAAGGTCTTTACTGAACACGCTTGTGTTTTGCATGCTTCCAATGTATAAGGCAGTACCATCCTCTGAAAATCTGAAGATGAATAGAAATGGTCCCAGGAAAAGTTCCAACTAGAAGAGGGGACAGAGATGGCACATACCATGTGCAGGATGTAGTGAGCCTTAAATAGCTAGCACACTATGCAACACTCTCGAAAGTTCCTCAGTTGCTCACAGAGCCCTCATTTTCTTCATCAGCACATTGCCTAACAACTCCATCAATAGAGAGTGCTGTTGCTCAGATTAATCCTTACCACATGGTGAGTTCTGGAAACCAAGCAAACAATGACAACAACACAAGAACCCATTTCCACTTTGAAATAGAGAATTCTCCAGGAATTCTTTAATTCAATTTTTATTATGCCTAGAGTTTGGAGAATGTTTTGATTTATCGCCACTACAGGAGAAAGAAATTAAATAATCGAGTGGCAGATTCCCAACTTTACTTGTTACTGCTTTCACATGAATTACTTTCCAAATCTAATTATTCAAGTTGCTGTTTTGGTATCAATCATAGACTAAAAGCCTAGCCCGTATATTTGTTCATTTACTTATAATTTATACCTCCTTCCTAAAACAATTTCAGTAACTCTATCAAGTATATGACATTAGAGCAAAAGCAGTATACTGCATTTCACAGTAGATAGCGGCCTTGAAAGTTAAGTACCCATCAGCAAACTTGTCTGTACAAGGGGGCTTTTGTAAACATTAATGGCAGACTGTTTCTGAAGAAATCTTTATTGTCCAAAGAATCATTCCTGGATCCCTTCAGTTTTGCAAGTTCGGCATAAAGGCATTGGTATTATTTGTTAATATTACTGGTTTAGTACAAATCTCTATGCTATATGTTAATTTTTCTTTTAAAGAAAGTTGTCGTCGTTGTTGTTGAGTGCCATGGAATCGGTTCCAACTCATAGCAACCCTGTGTAGAGTTTCTGAGGAGTGGCTGGTGAGTTTGAACCACCAATATTGCAGTTCAAACCAACCTCACAGTGGAGTGCTTATCCTACAGCACCACACCAGGACTACATGATGATAAAGAAGATGTATTTTGCTAAAGGAAATGAATCCTCTTGGTTGACAGTTAACTTCATTAGCAGTCCGCTTATTATGATCATAAATTTTAAATGAGTTTGTAACTACTAACAACAAAATCAGCTAGACATTTTTTCTTCCCAAAGACAGACAGACACACACACACACACACACACACACACCAAAGGAAGTTGATACCAAAGCTGTCAAATACCTTTAAAAGGATTGTTTGATCTATTGAAAATCTTGAGGCCTCTATTAGATATTTCACAGAGGAGTGTAAGGCCTTAGACATTCTCACCTCATTTTGAGTGGAATGTTGGAACCAGAAAGAATGGGAGTGGCCCACTAGCCTGTCTGCATTTTATAGCCCAAGAAGACCAGGGGGTCTTATCTCTTGTGGGGCAGAGCTGAGAGTACAGCCCACACCCTGAAAACCACTCTCTGTGGTTTAAGAAAGCCTGACTCAAATCCATGTAATTTAATGCTTCCATTCAGGAGTTATTGCTAAAACCATGGGCTCTTTAACTTCCCACAAAATGTATAATTGAAAAATTAAGGAAAAGTAATAATAACAAAGCAGTCTAATGATATTCTGTATTTGAGTGGGTTCACAGTATGAGCCTAAAAGAAATCTCTGCTCTACCAGCGGTGGAGCATTTATCAAGCTTTCCAGTAATGAAACTGGCCTGCTCTGAATGCCCAGCTGGGCAGCAGACTGTGAACATGTGCTGCGTGTGTTTTATCTTTTTATAACACCTTGACATTCAGGATTTCTCTTTTAAAAGTCTTAAACAGAATCATTTTCTGGTAGGGGAAAAATTAGCTTTAAGATATATGCAGGTGGTTCAGGGGTGTTAGTGTGACTTCCAACATGAAAAATAGCCACCAAAGTTACCACCATTCAGGCTGTAAATAGAACACTGTCAAGTGGGACTAGGCTGCGTGTCAGCATGTAGCTTAGGAGTTTGGTTTAAACTTAGTACAAAATTATGTCTTTAAGCCTTGAATCGTTTTTCCTTAATCTCAGAATTTTTAATAACACTCAAATTAGATCTTTTTCATAATCCAATCAAGATTGTCCTGGATCCAAACAAAAAGTTAGATTAGGAGTAGATCAAGATTTATTTCTACCAAAGGTAGTGTTAATGTTTTTTGCAGGGGCCAGGTCACATTATGATCTTAGGGCCCAGTTTCCCTGATTATTTGTTACTGCTCTATCCAGCTCATGCATAACCACCACCATCTGTCAGTGGAGCTTCCAGATGAAAATAGATGAAGAAAAAAGGCCAATCTACTTCTGAGCATCAGAAAATGACAATCTTATGTATAGAACACAGCTACCTAATCCAGAACCAACCATGGGGGTGGAGCAGGGTTAGGCAGCATTGCGTTCTGTTGGCACCATGAGTCTCACCATGTTTTGCTGAAGTCGATAGATTTCTAGAACCCTGGTTTGGTGCCATGGGTAAACGCATTGGACTGCAAAGTCGGTTTGAACCGCAAGGTTGGTGGTTCAAGCTCACCAGCAGCTCCTCGGAAACCTTACACAGGGTTGCTATGGGTCAGAACTGATTCGATGGCACTTAACA